TGCTAATCAACCGAAACGAAAATTATTTCTCTCATAATATATCGTAATGTAATATATTATCTCTCATAAAATATTATAATATAATGATTCTCCCTGGTATTGTATTTACATAATTCCATATTATATTTTCATTTATTCACCGACCAATATCATATACGAAGTATTACCTGGGGCAACTAGTTTTTAATATAAATAAAATTAAATTCGTGTTTTAATTATTCTTATAATATTATTTTAATTTTGTTTGAAACATATTTAAACAATATTTCCATTTTAAAATATTGTTTTATTTTGTTACGCTTCAGCTTATTTTATTTGTCATTTTCCAACATTTTAATTTATGTTGATCCATAATCAAAATATTCAAAATACTTAAAAAAATTATAAATATTATATTTTATATTATAAAAAAATATCAATGGTAAGAGCAAGGTACTGGTAGGTTACGACATGGCCGTGTCTCCAATGTTTTGACGTAGCCGTCCCCACCAATTTTCTGTAATGCCAATTATCTTTGAAAGTATGCATCAGAGAAATTTTGGAGTGTATGTGTTTTTATGGTCTTGACCTGTCTTCAATGACAATAAAAATTTTAAATTCATGATAGTCTCCAGTTTATTTAATTCTAAATTTTATTGAATATTTTTATAGTCTAGGACTTCCATTCCAACGTATTCTTATTCAGCCCAGGTTGCCAATTTATTAAATCATATTTAAACATAACTTTATTTTTATCACTGTGTTATAAACCTTATGCGATATGATGTTGTTATAATTAAAACCTTAATATTATTGGATTAATACGAACAATTAAATAAGAATCCCATTGAAAATCAACAACCAAATTAAAATGGTTTATAATAAATAAATTTTATTGAAAAAAAGCTAGTCGACTGTTATCATAGGTATCATAGGTGATGAATAGTCAGTACGCAGTCATTTTCAAGGTTTTTATTTCTGCCGATGTTAGCCATCTTAAGGGCTTAAAATTGTTTAATACAATCAGAGATATAATAAGACAGGTAATGACCAATAATGAAAAAATAGTGATAAATGACACATGAATAGACAAATGAAATAAGTAATAAGTTGTGTAAATTAAAAAGATATAATATATACAATCAATTTATAAGAAATACAATATTTACTCTTACTAGCCGTGTTTCGAGCACTGGAGTTATTTAAGTACTGAACTTCAGAGAAGTAGAAGGGTCCCTGGAGAAATACGGTTAGTAAGAGTAAATATTACATTTCTTCAGAATTAATTGTATACATTATATCTTTTTAGTTTGTATAACTTATTACATATTTCATTGGTCTATTCATGTATCATCCATCACTATGTTTTCATTATTAACCATCTATCTTACAAAATTATAATTCTGATTGTATTAAACAATTTGCAGCCCTGATAATGACCCACATGCTTGGGTTGAAACTTCGGCACAAATAAAAACCTTAAAAATGACTGCATCTTGAATATTTATCACCTATGATAAACAAATTTTATATTTTTATTTTCCGTTTTTAAGGTATATAAAAATATTTACTTTTTATATATATATATATATATATATATATACATATATATATATATATATATATATATATATATATATATATATATATATACATACATACATATATATAAATATAAATAAAAGGGTAGCCTTGGGGGGCCCCGGTGACCAGGGATCGGGTATGCAGAAGCCGCCCCCTACGTGCTCGGGCCTCCCAGGTCAAGATGGATGGCCGACCATTGTGTTATTGCATACATCTCATATTACACTCTTCAATTCATGAATTATTCACAAAATGTCTCCGCGATACAACAAATGCCAAAATAAAACTAAAAAAAGCCTCCAGTGTTTGGGGGTGACATGTGCTGCCTTGCATCGGTTTTTCATTTGTGTGTTCCAACGGCCTGCATTCTTCTTTTCATCAAATCTTTCCATCTATAATAGATATCCACGTGTTGCTATGTTTTGGTCGGAAAGTTACAGAGCCTAATATATAATTTGGAAAGCGACACGAAAGTAAATACTCATTATTTAGATAATATTATAAATAATCAGTTATGGAAACAATAAATAAGTTTTATAAAAATTCAAATAATCGATTTTTATAAAAAAAAAAAGTCTCCCTTAGCCCACAGCTTAATTAATTTATGAAAAGTCAGACTGATCATGAAAAATACTTCAAATCGATGGATATTAATATTTTTAGCTATTATTTAAAAATTATAAAACAAAAAAAATTATAGTCAATTTTATAATTTTCGATTCTTTTAATTTTGCGAAAAATAATTTATAAATATAGATTTTTATCAAATCAAAAATTCACTTTCACACACTGCTGTTACATTAAGAAAAATCATATTTTTTTTAACTGATAAAATACCGAGCCAAAATACGAAAATATTAAAAGTTGTTTTTTAAAGTTTGTCTTAGCTATATATGAATGAAAAAATAATTTTAAAGTTAATTTATTTTTAGCCATATTTACACCAATTTAAAAAAAAAAAATTTTTTGTCACTTAATGACTACTCATCAAAATGACGACGTTTCGGCTCGTCGAGCCATTTTCAAGTCTGTCATTTTCACTTATGCGAATTGCAAGCGTCTACTCATAATAAAATTCCTTATTATTGTCATGTTCACCTTGTTTCTGAGTCAACCACATGACATCCATCTCATTTCTATTCAGTGACTGTCACTGAATAGAAATGAGATGGATGACATGTGGTTGACTCAGAAACAAGGTGAACATGACAATAATAAGGAATTTTATTATGAGTAGACGCTTGCAATTCGCATAAGTGAAAATGACAGACTTGAAATGGCTCGACGAGCCGAAACGTCGTCATTTTGATGAGTAGTCATTAAGTGACAAAAATTTTTTTTTTTTTAAATTGGTGTAAATATGGCTAAAAATAAATTAACTTGAAAATAAATTAGTATGCACCGAAGAAGAATTGAGTAATATTGTGAAAAAATAATTTTGTTGAAGGCGATAGCTTTATCAGAATAATTACTGTTCGGAATTAATGCACATTTCTGTCAGAGTATGAGTTGCAATTTAACATAATACTCTCTCACACGACTTTCCTACCGATTTCAGACAAATTAAAGGCACCATGAATTTAAGATTTGTAAAAACATTAATAATCATCTTTCAAATAATTTTTTTAAATATTTCTATAGACATAATTGTTTTTATTTATTAAGAAAAAAATATTTTAAATTCCAGGACAGGAAAATTCCCACCGACTATACCAATACTTTCTTTATGTATTACCATTAGGAAAGTAATAAACTTTTTTTAACATGAACAGCTAAAATTCTGTCTGATTATGGCACTATTGCTTACGTTCTAATGGATAAAAAAACATCACAAAAATTGTACAGAAACAAATATTAGATTCGAAATTCGACCAATGTTCGAAGCCTTTAAATACTTGATAAAGCTATGTTAAATATGCTTAATTTAATGAATTTAATGAATTCAAGTTAACCGAAAACGATATGATTGGGTACAACGTTAATCTGAATATAACGACTTCAATCAGCTGCATATGAATGGAAGGCTAACTCAGCGTAAAAACAACCATTTGCATTTCCCCTTCGGCAAGAAAATTAATTCTGTTTTCTTTGAAAACAGCCCTCTTTTTGCTTACATCATTTATTTTCCTTCCACGTTCGATTAACAGAAAACAATTTTTCACTATTCAATATTCACAATTCAATAAAATAAAATAAAATATGCGGGTGTTTATATTTTTCTGAAAATTCATTTTTCAATTTCATGCTTCAATATTCTTTAAAATAAAAAATGCTTTACGCTAAAAATCATTAGTGATGTGAAATTCAATAATCTTTTATTTATTAGAAAGAGAAAAATTACCAGTGGTTCGGGTTTGATTGGTTATGACTATTTCATGATTGGGCCGATTATATTTCAATATTCAATAGTACTTTGAAAATAAAATCGAGACGATAATGCATAATATATTTATTCGTTTTAAATTTCACCATACGCCTTTCTGAAGCCAAGTCCATTATTAAAATTTTTTTGTTAGAGAAGTGTGTTTTTAAAGGAAAATCATATAATTTCAGTTTTAGAGTTTTAATAAATTCTTAACTTCAGAATTAAATTTATTTCGTCTTATAAAGTATTTTTCATTCATAATACTGGTGTCCGAAATAAGTTAAGAAGGAACATACCATTTATTTTTCAACCAAAATTCCAACAATGTATTTTTTCAAAGGAAGGAGATGGTCCGGGGTGGAGGTCATAAATAGGCTAAATAGTGGTAAATCTATTATTAGAACTGAGTTTTAAGTGAAACTCCTAGCTGAACACACCTCCCTGAAGAAGACCTGCAAAGTTGGGTCGAAACGTCGGCTTTTAATAAAAATAGTTTTACCACTATGTAGCTTATTTATGACCTCCACCCCGGACCATCTCCTTCCTTTATAATGCAACGGTCAACTATTAAATATTCAATGTAATTTTTCTTTATAAAATTTTCCACTCAGAAAGAACTAATGTTATTTCGGTTTTTACTCGATTCTAATATCAATCAAAACATCTATATTCCCCTCCCCCTCTCCCAACAAAAAACCAGTACATTAGTACAAAATTTGGACTTAACCGATTCTTGCATCAACGCTCTCAATTAGTATATGATATTTCAAATGATATTCATCTGGAATTAAAATTCTTGGTTATTAATAATTATTAATAAGGCTCGGTTTCGGACTATTTACATCGTTCCTATGTGGATATTGTCTCTTTTGACGTTGAAAACGAATTGAAACTGATATTTTTCCATCCAACACCACTTTTCTAAACTGGGAAATATACACATAACTTCGTCTATACAGATATAATTTTTTTGAACTATACACACCGCTGTAGCAGCAGGTATTGTAAAGTTGCATGCATGTATCTTTAGCTTTAAAACAGCGAAAAAAGTAAGGTATTTTCATCTATTATCATGAGAAATGCTAACCATCTCTTCTTGCATCTGTCTGTCCTACAGGAAGCCATCATGGGCTCTGGGTTCGACTCCGGCATGGGACGACCAGGTAGCCCTGGGCCAAAGGGAGACCTCGGCCCCGAAGGGCCCCCTGGCATGAAAGGGGACAGGGGAATACCGGGAGAGAAGGGGGACCGTGGCGAAGCTGGAGCCAAGGGGTACAAAGGAGACAGGGTGAGTTAGTGGAAACTCAAAGCCGCTACTTTTATTATATATTTATATTTATATTATATATATATTTTTATATATGTTTATCTAAGCTTAATATTATTTTTATTTGTTGTAATAATAGTATATATGTAGATCTACTTGTTGCATGAGTATTCTTAAAACCGTAGTTATCACATGTTTTGTTAAATATTCCAAGGTACATTCGAAGGATATAAAGAAGAAACTCAGCATCATCATCGACTAAATAAATTTAATATAATTTATTGAGAAGATTAATTTTAATTTATAATAAGAAATATTCAGAACAGAAAGCAGAAATACAGATTTTGTTTTATACATATATATTTTATATAAAAATATAATCTGTGGTACATTCCTTTATTAATTATTAAATCTGCCTAAAACTTTACGACCTCATCTTATAGAGAACTTTTTATTCATGAAAATTCTCAGGAATCGAGCGTTTTCTCAATAAATTTATTATAGTCCGTTGTACAGACCCCTTTTTATCAGATTATTTACATCGGGCTGAAACCTCGTAAATAGCTTCATCTTATCGTAACAAATATGTGATTTACGAAAATTCTCGGAATTGGAGCGTTTTCAATCTGGAGATCGGCAAACTTTGTCTATTTAATCAGGTACCAAAAACTCGTAAATACATTTATTTTCCACTTTAATCATAAGGTAACTTGAGCACAAAGTCGAGAAAAAAACGGAGAATATAATTCGAAAATATCGAGCCAGTTGGCGTGACCTACACTCTCAAATTGTCTAAATAACGAGGTTATATAAGTCAAACGGCTCAATATTTTTGAAGGCTCTACATTTTTTCTCGACTTTGTGCCCAAATTATCTTACTACTAAAGTGAAAAGCAAATGGATATTTACGAGTTTTTACTAACTAATTAAATAGAAAATTTTTGCCGATCTCCAGATTGATAACGCCCTTATTCCGAGAATTTTTGTAAATAAAATATTTGTTACGATAATATAAAACTATTTACGAAGTTTCAACCGGATGCTAATAATTTGATAAAAAGGGGTCTGTGCCACGGACTATTACTTTAAAGAGGTACTAAAACCTCATGAATACTCATTTGCTTTCCACCTGAATCTTAAGATAATTTGATCATAAAAAGTGGCCTACGAAAATATTGGGCTGTTTAGGCTGTGTAACCTTGTTATTTTGACATGTCGGTGGTGTAGTTCACGTCTAACGGCTCTTTTTGTAGGTCACATTTTTTCTCTATTTTATGATCAAATTACCTCACTATCCTAGTTGAGAACAAATCGATATTAACGGTTTTTTAGTACTTTATTAAATCGGCAAAATTTACAATCTCTAAATTGAAAACGTCCTATTTCCGAGAATTGTTGTAAATAAAAAAGTTTTTGATTACGATAAGACGAAGTCATTTCCCAAATTTTAGATTAATGTTAATAATTTTATAAAAATGGGTCTGCACCGCGGATTAATAATTAAGTATTTAGTGTTCAAAAAAAAATTATCTAAGGTAATAGTTACTGAGTCAGGAATTATGTTAACCATTGCTAATGTTGTGCTATTAACTAGTGGCATGGTTAGCAAAAAAAACTAATACAGGACTACTTTACTCAGAGGCTATTTATATGTGTTTAGTATAAACACAGTAGGTGACCCAGAGTATTGGCGTAGGTGAACCCAGGTATAATGGGGCACTTTAATAATCCCTGACTCAGCAACAGCCCCTAGTGTTTTTCAAATATTAGGAAAAATAAGGTGTGTTTGATATCTGAGGTCACTTCACCAACAAGACAACTCAAAAATACAGGTAATTCTAATATTATAGTATAATGAACAATACATTGATTGATACCCTTAAGGCAATATTGATAATATGAATTCTAGAAAATATAATCCAATGCAATTGAAATGTGATTATTGTCATTTTTCCTGAATATCTCTACACTAGAATAAATCTAGAATCTAGAAGAACTTATAGCTTCACCCATTCCATCTTTTTTTGTGCAGAGAGAATAATGCGTTCAATATTAAAATTTCCTATTTTTTTATGATATTGTCCAACTTCCGAACAAAACAAAGGAAATAAAATTTTTTTTTTTATTTGTGATGTATATACAACCAATCAACTATTCATTACATGTAGTTCAGATTAGGTACATATTGTTTTAGTTTATAAAACAGGTATTAATATGACTCATCTCCGGGAAAGTATATACAATTTAGATTACCCCTAAGAATCAGTAAATAACCAAAACAAATTGTTTGTTTGGGGCATCAGGCCTTTCCTAATCCCGAAGCAGGGGGAATCAAACCTTGATGCTAATTACTTGATCAGAAGGGGGTGTTCATGTGGAATGTGAAAAGAGAATAATGAGGTTGAACATAAAAATATATTGAAAAATAATAAATAGAAATAAACAGAGGATGATGGGGTTTAAGAAGTACATTTGGGTTATTGTTGTTAGGAATCTATTGGGTAATATGGGCTGACCAGATAAATGAAGATGCTGGTTTATTGAATGGTGATTTTGAATTCTCCATTGAGAGACTAGTTTCTGTGTCATCTGAATGGGTACTGTGTTCTGGCATCTTCTATGTCTTGTCACGTGCTGGCATCCATGCCGCCTCTTCTTGCCTCTTCCATGTGCTGGTCTAGCTAGACATGTAATTCACTTTATATTAACATGCTTAGTCATGGAGACCATTTTGCTGGCAGACTCAGACTTGTACTGGTGTTGTACTTTGGCCCTGCTGGTCCCAGGTCACCAGGCAAGACTAAACTTCTTCAGCTTGCCAGTAGATGGCACTGTCATAATGACCAATAGATGACGCCACTGATGTGCGCTTTTTGACGCACTTAAATTATTAATTATAGTGAGTGGCCTTAACAGTGTTAAATCAGGATATTCAGCAAAGTTTTTTTTAATTGAGTTTTGTTATTCTAATTATATCGTTGTTACAATAAATAACTTAATTATTTCTTATAATAATAAAGAGAAATTAAATTTTTAAAAATAAAATAAAAATTTTTAAATTCTTTTGAATAATCAAATTATTGCATTAATCTTTGTCAGTTAATACCATCAATATAATGTACCAAAAACATTATAGCACTATAAATAAGCCACTTATGAGCACTGAATGATGTGACGTAGGCCTGTAGGCACCTGCACCTACGAAATATTGAATCATTATTTACATCAACATTTTTGTATCTATATATATATGAACATACATATATATGAACAACGATTCGTGTTCAATTTAATGCTCTTACCGGAGTTATTCACATAGATAATTCCAAGCTCTTAGCTTTAGAATAGCTTTCTATAAGCATTAAGCTCCAGTTCCTTCCATTGAACTGCCCGGGGAGTGCTCGATTCAAAGGAGATTATAATTTAAAAACGCTTTCACCTAAATGGACATTCAAAAGGATTTGCAATATTCAATAATTGCAAATCCTATACCTTCTATCCAAAAAATAAATAAAACATAACTTCAATCATCGTAGAAGGTGATTTGTTAAAACTAAATTAGTATTGTATTGTATTAACTTTGACATAAGTGGCATAAATCATTTTAAGAAGAAAATTCGAATAGGCGATTGGATCAAATAGCAGAACTTGAAATAAAAACTTTTATTACTAATAAGTTTCGATTTTTATTTTCAATAGTTTTGTTTAACTTCGGAACTAGAACTTTCTCCCATGGAAATTTTAATTATAGATATCAATGAAAAAAAAATTTCTTCACAATATATTATGAATTTTCAATTCATTCAACCGAAAACTAAATTTAAAAATTGTAATTGTGCAATAGATTAATTATATGAGAAACGCAAGTCCATTCAAGACATGTCTTAATTTTCAAAACAGTTATATAGGCCCGGTAACTGGTTAATAAAAAAAATCTTTATGACTTTTATTTAAAAATTCTTAGAAAAAAGTTTGAAATTGAATAGTATTATATTTATATATATATATATATATATATATATATATATATATATATATATATATTATTTAGTTTTATATTATATTATAGTTAGAAAAAATAATTTCTTTCAAAAAATAGTTTAACATCGAAATTATTAAAATGGAACTTGAAACTTTAATATGGAATAATGGCGGAACTGAGCAAAAAAGTATATTTCAAATAATAAGTATTTTGTTTTCTAAAATAAAATTCTAATAACAAATTATTTAAATTTTAAAAAAGAAAATATTTTTCTGTAAACTATTTAAATACTTGGTAATTAAAATTCCACATATTAAAAAAAAAATACTTGGTGTTTTAAGTAATATATTGGAATAGTAAATAAGTCCTTTTGGTTTTTCTGTTTATTTTTATGTCACTATGATACACTTCTGATCTGATGAATTAATCCCTAAGGTAGATTGTTTATCCTATCTGTAATATGTCAACAACTACATCTGTTAACTATTGTTGGAACTAGCTTAGTATTGTGTTTGCTATTGCACTGTGAATATGGAAGAAAAGTATTATTTTAAAAAAGATAAACGTGCTGTAGAAGCTCATAGAAAAATTTACAGTGTTTATGGGAATGAACGCACCTGTCAAAATTGTTTTGCAGTCAAATTTAATTCATAAAATTCTGACATCAATAATGTTCAACCGTCTGGTCCTCAACATGAAATTGAAAGGAACAATGCTAAGGCCAATGTTTATCTAAATCCCACCCAATCAGTGCGAGAGATTGCTATGACCCTAAATGCGTCGCACACAAGCGTAGAAAACCATTTGCACAAGTTCGGCTATGTTTCCAGGCTTAATGTTTGTGTCTCTCACTCTCTAAGCGAAGTCAATCTGGCAACACTCATTTCAGTCAGTTTGTGATTCACTACGGAAACGACAACAAAACGACCCATTTTTGAAAAGGTTGGTAACAGGAGATGAAAAATGGATATTTTACGATAATGTAGTCCGTAGAAAATCTTGGGGGACCAAGTAGTGAGGCTCCTAGAAGAATGTCAACATTTTTGTT